TCCTTAAAGATGGTATCAGATGTATACACAGCAAGCAAAACTAAGCCAAATCAAACTAGCTAAATGTGGTTTGTAAGCCAAAAAGCATTTAAACTGGAGGCATATTTAAGAGGTTGAAATAGTCTGTCACTGGGGCAACTGGTTTGAACACTGAAGACTCCCCTGAGTTCTAGAACACATTCCTAGAAGTCTAAGCTAATAGCTTCACAGACAAGTTACAAAATCTTCTGAATTCTATGGGAAAATAGATTTTGGAGTTAAAAGTAGTTTGTTTTTTGTTTTTAAATGAATCAATTTAGAAAGTGAGTTAAAGAAATACAGTCTTGAGACAACTTCTGGAGTACTGAACTGAATTGGAGAGGCATGATAACATCATTTTCAACTCATAACTGATTCAGGTGAATTTGTTTCAATGGTTCGTTCACATTCTTTAGAGCCTCTGCATAAACTATGATTTTCAAGAAAGGCATTGAAATACAGCTAGTATTTTTAAAGCAAACATCACAAAATGCATTGATATCCTTAAAGTTAACAGTATACATTGTGTGTTAGGGCTGTCCAGACCCAAATGTTATGACATCTTTGGGTAAACACTGAATGGAAAAGACAGCAACTATTATCTGGTACTTGGAGAGTGTCTGGTTTACAGTAGTTTCCCTATTTATTTGTAGGATGAGTAATAAGTGAATGTATGATAAAGGAATATATTTGCAGAAAAAATAAAGAATGCATTTAAACTAAAATTGGATAATTAGTAAAATGCCTAAATGGTAAAAACTATAAAAAGAACAGTTTTAATTAACTTATGAACTAACACTGTTTGGAGATTTTAATTAAGTGACAAATAAAACATGGCACCTTACCTCTTTTCAAAATCTAGGGAAGTTCCTAACCAAGCATGGCTTCAAATGTCTTAGCTTCAGACACTTAAAACCAATAGTGAAATGGACAGATGGGTTTGCATCAAATGTTAAGAAGTCTCTGCATCAAAGGAAACACCCAGTAGACTGAAAAAAGCAAGCTGTGGGGTGGGAGGAAATATTTGCAAATGATGTCTCTGATCAGATATTATTCAAAATAAGTAAGGAATTATACAGTTCAGCAAATACTAAAGTAATCCGGTTTTAAAATGAACAATTTCCCAAAGACATACAAAAGGCAACAAATATCTAAAAACCATAATATGATTTGGTAGGGATAGGGACTCCCCCTTCACCTCCCTTACCTCTCGCTCCATTCTCCTGCTGCTCACCGTTTTGTCCCATATTATTAGAAAAGTAACAGTTCTTCAGCAACAGTCACAGTCCAAGATTCTGCTATTTTAGTGTATTATGGCAATGGTGGAAAATCTGGTATCGTACTCTCAATTCAACCAAAGAGCTTGATCATGATGTGTCACAGTGAGGCTCACTTTGGTCAAATCTATTTATGATTCTCTGCTTTCCTATATTTGATTTTCCTTTTCTTTCTCCATGTTAGGGAAGTTCTCATTCATTGTTTGATTGAATATATCTTTCAACTCAGCTTCTCTTTCTGTGCCTTCAGAAACATCCAGAATTCTTATGTTTGGCCTCTTGATGGTATCAGATAATTTGTGTGTAATTTTCTCAGCTTAACTAAGTCCTTCTTCCAGCTTTTTGACTGTTTCAGCTTTATTGCAGGAAGTGTCTTGCAATTGTAAGATTCTTTCTTCTGTCTCTTTAATTCCATTATTGAAGACTTTCCACTGAATTTTTACTTTGCTGCATTGTAGTCTTCATTTCAAATAATTCAGTTTGGTTTTATTTCATTGTTGCTATTTCCTGCATAATGTGTTTCTTAATTCCTTAAACTCCTGTATGTGCTTCTTGCTGTTTCTAAGGATCCTTATAATGATTTAGATTTTTTTTTTTAAATCTGGCAGTTCCTTTATGTCTTCCTCAGTTAACTCTGAGATTGACATGGTGTTTTGCTCCTTTGCGGGGGAGGTGTCAATAACTGTGCCTGTGCCCCTTCTTTTGGCCTTGGCCATTGCAACTCACACTAGCAGATTCTTCTCACGGCCAATTTTAAGCTTTATCGTCCACAGGTCTACAAATTGATTTTACTGATCCTGTTCAGTGCCTGGTTCTGCATTTGTGTCACTCATTCCTCTGCCTACATTGAGTTTTAGTTCTGGGCTCTCTTTCTATGCTGCTGACATGGTCTCCACAGCCAGTACTCCTCTGGTGGCCACTCTTATCCCACTGTGATCCTATGTTGTGACCACACCATTGTCTGCTCAATATTTCTCACACTTGTTATTTTAGTAGTACTTGGGATTAGGGATACACCAGCTGTGACTTAAAAGTAGATCTCAGGCTCTCAGTGGTACCCATCACATGGATTTTTGTTTTCTTTCCTCTTGTTGCTAGAATCTGCTGGCAATTAGTTCTGGGGCAACCTAGACTTATTTTGGATGGAATCCATGGATTGCCAAGTTGGTATTATATTCCTGGTGGGACCAATGCAATGCATTGAGCCAGAAGTGATTTCTCCACTGGCTTAGCACATGCAGAGTTCAATGTTGTCCCCTAATCCAGGAACTTTGTCACAGAATTCCAAATGACTCCTCATAAGGCACTGGTGGAAGTTGGGGCCACGAAATCCATCCTGTTCCCACGTCAACCCACCCAAAAGGGCTCTACTACTCTTCTTGTGCTCATGGTAAGATTAAAAAAATCAGCAGTACCTGCAATGCTATGGCATTCCTGGTGATCTCATCTGACTGCCACTGGAGCTCCAATCGCTGCTGGGATGTCTGTTCACCGCCCTACCACTCTGCTGACTCTGCTGCTTCCCCATGTCTCCAGGTATCCCTCTACCATTAGCCTATCCTCACCTATTTCCTGGGATAACACTCTCTGCCTCTCCTCCTCTGATCCTTCTGCATCTGTTTTAATGTGTCCTTACTCTATTCCGCTACATTGCTTTCTTGATCTCTAGGCTAATTCTTATGTGTTGGATGGTGTCTGATGTAAATATTAATGAGATCTTTTTCAGGTTGCATTTTTAGTTAACATTTGTTATGTATTTTGTTACATAATACTAATAATTACATTGAGTTTAAATATTGATAATTGTCTAATAAAATAGTGTCCATTTTAGGTCCATGAAAAATAAATGCCACACTTCTAACCAAAATGAAGCTACAAGGGCCTAATTTGCGTTAAGCAGTGAGAAATAAAAATAAAATGCATGCAAATATGTGATTTTCAGGCATTGGACAAAAGGTAGCATGAACCTTGTGATTCCTTACAGAAGCAGACAGACAAGGTGAGCCCAAGCATCTTACCAACTGGCAGCAGCAGCAAGAGGAGGAACTTAGGCAGTGTTTTGAAGTTTCATTGATTGGGAATAGAGAGATTAGAATTTGGTGGACAGAGGCAGAATTTGTAAAGAGTGGAAACAAAAAGAAATTGCGGCAGAATGTTTCTAGATGACTGTGAAATAGCTCCCTCTGAAGGCTTTGCTGGGTAGTGATCCAAATAGGAAATCACCACATAGAAGAGTGTGCAGGGGTGGGTGGAATTCACTGGAAAGGATAAAGCTAAAAATTACAGGAGTTCACATGGGCTACAAGTAATTCAGATTCGTTTCTGCCAGAGGAAAAAACTTAGAATACCACTAGTATAACCCCTAGGAGACCATCATCTGAGTAAAGAGGCTAAGCCAGGCTTTTTAAATCACCACTAAAGACTTCTTTGGGAAACACCGTCCCATTAATATTAGAAACAATCTCAAAAGCATCCACATCATTCCAAGTGGTTTCAGTGTGTACCCAGAGCAAAGTAAATCACTGCTTCAAAGGACAAGGCACGTTCTAATAACCAAAGCATAACACTTGCAGTTCCTGCCATTCAGTAATAAATTATCAGACATGAAAGCTGATGTGATGTCTCCAGCTTTGTTTTTGTTGTTTAACATTACTTTAACTATCTGGGAGAACTCTTGTATTTTCATATGAATTTTAGGATAATTTTTCTAGATCTGAGAAGAATGTAATTTTATAAATTGGAAGATTTTTTAATGCATGTGTGTTCTTCTATTTTTTTCCCCTTAATTGAACATTTTACAATTTTCATTGTAGAGGTCTTTCACATCTGTAGCTAGATTTATCCCAGGGTATTAAAAATTTTAGTAGCTATAATGGATGGTAGTGATCTTGCAAATTCTTTCTTAGCCATGTTATTGTTTGTGTGTACAAATGTTATTTATTTATTTTTGTATGTTGATTTTATTATCCTATGAATTTGTCAAGCTGTCTTATGAGTTCCTATAGTTTCTTAGTGGGGTCTTTTGATTTCCGTATGTATAGAATCATGCTATCTGCAAATAGAAAGCTTGGCTTCCTCCTTTCCAATTTGTATCTCTTTAATATGTTTTTTTTGCCTGGTGGCTCTGGCTAAAACTTCCAAAGCTATATTGATCAGTAATGGTGAGAGTAGGCATCCTTGTCTTATTCTGCTTTTTAGTGTAAATGCTTTTCCCTGCTCAATGTGCACTTATATTTCTTTAATAATTATCAGAGTGAAATTATGAGAAATATACTTATGTTTTGACATTTTTATGTATATGTTTTTTAAGGATTTATTTTTATTGGAAAGGAACATCCAAATTAGAGAGAGAAGGATCTTTGATCCACTGGTTCACTCCCTAAATGGCTACAATGCCCGGAACTGAGCTGCTCTGAAGCCAGGATCCAGGAGCTTCTTCTGGATCACTCATGCTAATGCAGGATCCCGAAGCTTTGGGCTGGCCTGCACTGTTTCCCCAGGCCATAAGCACAGCGCTGGATGGAAGATGGAGCAGCCGGAAGATGAACTGGCACCCATATAAGATACTGGCACTTGCAAAAGGAGGATTTAGCCATTGAGCTAGTTTAAAGTTTTATATTTTAAGTAGCTATTGAAAGAATAAAGCAATTTGGGAATTATCTTGTGTTAGATATAATCTAAAATTAAAACCTCTTGCTTTGTAAGGTGGTCTTTTCATCAGACGTGTTCAAATCAGCATCTTTCATCCCGTCACATTCTGAATCCATACCAAACTATCGGGTGAGCCCTAAAAGTAATTCTATTTCAATATTAATTATGCTTCATTAGTATGTCTCTCCAATACTTTATTTGTTTGATTAAGTGGTCCTAAAGCCAAATTCCTTATCAGAAACACCTGACAACATTAAACACTACTTATTCTTAGGTCCTGCCTCCAACCAGTGAAACTCAGTTAGGAATGCAAGATGGGAAGCTATATTTTCACAATAACAAAAAACAAAATGCACAGAATTCCAAGTAATTCTTAATGTGTCACTTGAGTACTCACTAGCATTTGAAGACCAGTTATAATAAATTGTATTTGTTAGAAAGTACTTTGAATTATTAAGTTGAAATAAAGTAAAGTGTTTGGGTATTTCCTATTTTTTATTTCATTTGCTTGGATAAAGCAGGCATTTTTTGAACAAGAGGCTGTGATAAGAGATTTTAATTTTTAAAGTCTCAATAATAGAATAATCTGGTACCAAAACTACAAAATTACGTATGGATATTAAACTGAGATTTCACTATAATTGGAGATTTTTTTTAGCTTATTCTGAATCATCAAAAAACAAAACTCTATTGTAACATGATAAGAACTGGGATAAGGAACCATTGTCATTGTTGAAACTCAAATTTAAAAGCTAGTGATCTAGACTCTTCAGTCTTTGAATATTTATGATACTTTAAATTGGATCTATCTTTCAATCTGTCTACATTTGTATGCAGGTGTGTGTCTGTGTGTATTAAAAATCCCCACATTGCCTCAAAAATGTTAAATATATGGCTAAGAATTACATCCTGCTATTAACCACTTTCTAAACAAATGCAACTGACACTAGAAATAGTTGTTAAAAGAATCTATTAATTGGGTGGCTTTTAAGCATTTAAAAAGTAGAATCAGAATGAAGAATTTGAGTAATTTGCATCAAATAAAATATTATCCTAATTTTCACTATTTAAAATGCATCAAGGTAGGTGTTCTCCCTTTGTAGTGAGATGAAAGATGAACAGACAAACTAACATTTATAATCAAAGAAAACTAACTAGAAAATTTCTTATAAATTGAAAATATTACAGATATTATTTTTGCAATTTCAGAAATTCCACCTGGGCCGTTTTGATCCTTTTCTAAGGAACATAAATGACAGCATGTCAGACAGTATAAAGAAAGACAAAGAGATATATGAAGTTAAAAACAGCTTAAGTACAGAAGTGATAGAACATGAAGACCAAGACCCTCCTTATCCAACATATTCAAAAGCTGCAGAACCTACTATGAAACCCTGCTCTGACCCTAATGTCACAGTGAAGACTTTCTACACTATGGGAAAGTTAGCCTCTGATCCTACTGTCAACCCAGTAAAGACATCAGACACTAAGGATAAATTAGCTCATGATCCTACTGTCAACTCAATAAAGACTTTAGACAATAAGAATAGGTTAGCTCATAATCCTGGTCTCATCAGAATGAAGACGTTAGACAATAAAAATAAGCCAAAGGAAACACTATTAAATGGATCTTTACCAAATTTCAAAAGAGAATCATCATTTATTCAAAATATAAATAAGTGTCACCTCTCAAAGTCATTAAGTCCCACTTCCCACATAGAAAACTTAAGACAATCAATGGCACTCAAGTCAGTTTTAAGTAAAAATCTACAAGACCTTTCAGACAAGTTATTTGCTAATCTAGAAGTTCCCGTAAACTCTGAAGCAACAAAGAAAAGTGATTCCCCACATCTAAGCATCCCCAATGAACCAGCAAAGAGTGTGGGAGACAGAGTATTTGAAAAAATCCAAGATTCACATAGCTGGCTTTCAGAAAAAGATGTTTCAAAATCAAAGTCTCTTTTAAGTCAAGTAATTAAAAATGTTCCCACAGATTTTCTTTCAGGAAGTGGAGCAGGAAAATCTTCAGAGGTAGCAGAATCCATGTCTGAAAAATTCTCAGAGGCTGATGAAACAGATTCTCCAATGAATAAAAAGTGTCGTTTCAAAAAGAAACATTTAATAAACAAAACATCAAGCTGCAAATCAACTTTGGTTGGCTCTGTGCCTGACTGTGTGATAAAGCAAATATTCATGGCACCCCTCTCACATCTGAAGCTAGGAGTGTCAGAGTCGAGTGAGCCACAGATGCACCTGCAGGATGAACTATCCACTCCATGGGGCAAAAGCTTATCTTCCCGTGTTCTGTTTCACTTTGGAGAAGAAAATGATGAAACAGAATTGCCACAGTCCAAATCGGTGGTAAGCCAGATAATTCAGGCATTTCCTGTAGAGACTCTTTTAGAATATGGGCTAATCAAAGTGATAGAATTAGAGAAAGAGTGCCAGAATGGGTCCTTGCTGGGAACAGAGACAGGGCTTCCAGAAGAGCCGAAGCATCCCACAGAGGATTATCCAGAAGTCAAAAGCAAACCAGAACTTCTCACAAGGCAGAACACTCCCACCCATCCCCATGATGCTGCTGTTTTTTTCGGTGGAGTTGAATTTATAGAGGAAGGTCAAAAGAAGTCCCCACCACATTCAGCACATGATTGGATACCAGAGAAGAAGCCAGTTTCCCCAAGTAATGGCCACAGGCTTGACATAAAAGAACATGATCTAAATTCTGTTTTAGAAACCTTCAGTAACTCTTTTCTAATGGGTAAGCTTGATGAGTCTGATGTAGGGATGTTAAAATCCTTTCTGAGAAGCATCTTGAAAGCCTTTTTCACACATAATCAGTCTCAAAGGAGAAGACAGCCAGAGAAAGAATTGGAACAATTAATTCAACGTGATATTCCTAACCATACAGACCGTCTTGAAGAAATCCAAGGGAGTTTGAATAATGTGGACACATTGCACAGAAAACCCATTTTGAGTCCAAAGCTGCGTGTGTTTCTGGAAGAACTCTCAGAGTCAGAAGTGAAAAATTTAAAGTCGGAATTAAGTAAACATATCCAGCATTACCTTGTAGAAAGGCTGTCAGAAGCAGGACATATTGCCAAGGAGGACTTACCAACAATCTATCAAAACTTGCATTTGATGAATGAGAAAGCTGACCTAAATGGGCATAACATTTTCCAGGAAAAATACTCTGAAGCTGTAAGGGAAATCATGTCTTTTGTAAATAACTTTAATCATCACTTCATAGATAAACATCTAGAAATAAAGCTAAGATCCTTTTTAAATGAAATTCTCCAAAACTACTTCCTAAGAAACCTTTCAGAGAGCAGTTTATTTAATGAGGCAGAGCCTGAGACCATACACAGTAACGTATCTTCTCTGAGAACTAGAAATACTTCTATATCCTATCATGAGTTAAGAGAAGAACTTGCAAGTGGGAGTTTTGGTAGAAGGCCTGAAATAAAAATGAAATATCCCTTAAATAAATCTCTTCAAAACTACCTTTTGGCTTTATCAGAAAATGAATTAGTAAGTCTAAAAGCTGAATTAAGCAAGCACCTCCAGAGTCTTTTTATAGAGAAACTTTCAAAAGCAGGATTAATGACAGAAAGGCAGTTAGAGCACATCAGCCATCATTTACATTTGCTTAATTCAAGCTGCACGCCACTGAAATGCATAAAGTCCAACTTACCAATTAGGGATGAGCATCACTTGATGGAGGAACATTCAGAAAAGGAGAGCAAATATTCAAAAACTGTTCCAAAGTCCACACTACAGAAGGCTCCTAAGGATCAATGTGTAGAAACAGAGTTGGTCAAAAGAGAAGAAGGTGGCTATTTTTGCTTACAGAGTTTACAGAAAAATCCGACAATCATGGAACAAAATAGTTGCTACCCTAGAGCGGAAGGTAAAACACCAGATTTAATAAAAATACAGCCTTCTTCCAACAAAAATACCCAGGCAATCCCATTAAATAAGTCATCAGAAAGACTTACAGATATGTTGTTTAAGAAACCCAGAGAAGAATGTGGTTTTGAACAGTTTCCTAGAGCTGACAATTCTTTTTGTAAAACAGAGAGTCAAGACTCGAATGGTTGGACTGGAAAATGCAAAATGACTCAACCAAAAGCTTGCTTGGACAGGAAAATGAAAGTGCTTGGGAAAAAGGAGCATGTTAACATTTATAAACTGACTGTTCAGGAACGACCTGAAGCAGTATTGTCACCACACCCAAGTATCCCTAACTGCAAAATACCAAGAGAAGATGACAGACAGTCACACAGATTCCCCTTCCCTTTGTGGCAGACCAATACACTTGGCTATTGCAATTCAGAAGCTGGGGAGAAACCCTACCAAGAAGAACAGTACTGCCAGAGATTAAAAGGAAATAACAACAACAATAAAAAACATTTAGTAACATTTGCACAATATAATAAAGACATACAGAGTCTTTATTTGAACTCAGGTTTTCTCTTCAGTGAAAAATATGCCAGGATCCCTCAATCACAGCTGTTTATGATAATAGAAGATAAGAAAAACTCAAACTCATCCTTCTTCCCTGAAGTACTAAAGAGAGAAAATCTAAAACCCAAGGTCCCAAAAGAAACAGACCATCCCAAGACAAAAAAGCCATTTAATAGGATAGGTAGGTTAGTGCCCACCACACTGCCCACCACAAGAATTCATCTAAAGAAATCCGTTCCAAGAACAGTACTTCATTGGACTGCAAGAAGAACTATACATGTAATAATATTTTTCTCAGTCTTCTACTGCTGCATTTGGCAAACTTCTGTAATTTATTTTAGGGTATATGAGGATACTTTTAAAATTTTGTGACAAAATGCATCAAAAGATAAGTGCAGACTTTAAAAAAAAAATCTCTGCATACAGTTTTTGCATGTCCATGACCTTTTCAGATGCTCCTTATATATATACATGGATTTCAAAATTTTATTACACCAAAATAAGTTTAACCTGTTTTTAAAATTAGAGTGAGACAGAGAGAGAGAGAGAGAGAGAGAGAGAGAGAGAGAGATCGTATATACTATTCTACTCCCCAAATACCTGCAATGTTTGGGAATTAATCTATGTCTCCATGGGTGACAGGAACCCAATTATTTGAGCTGTCACTTGCTTCCTCCAAGGGTTTGCACTAACTGGAAGCTAATGTCAGGAGCTGGAGTTAGTCACTCCAGTAGGAAACAGGAGTATTAGCTGCCAGGCCAAACATCTGCCCGACTTTGCTTTAATGCTATTTTCCAGGAACTTTTCGAATTACTCTCATATGTCTACATGTTGTAATTTTAATTGCCCCCCAGATACAAACTTCCAAGTTGAAAGTTTTTCCCAGAAATTGAAGTAATCATTCTGCCTGATTCAAAGTATAATCACAGAACCAGGAAGAATGTTTATGCCCATCATTAACATGGATAAAGGGCACCCTCCCTGGGGTATGAGTTAGAAAAAGGAATCCTTTCTGCTTAGCAGCTCCTGCGACAGCCCGAGGAAGGGCAGTCCTCCCTGGCATGAAAGATGGGCTGGATGGTACCCCTGGTTGATGTCAACCAGTTGCTGGTAGCAGCCAGAACTCATACCCCCTCTACCAGTGGCCATCTGCTGAGGGAACACAGAATACAAGGATACTTGTATAATTTTTTTTTCAACTAGCTGAATTATTTGAGTTTTAGTAAACAAATATGAAACTGGATATGCATCTCACTCTGCTAAGAGTTCTAGAGGTGAAAACTTTACAGTTTTTCAAATTATTGAATTTTAATTTAGCCTTAAGTCTTTTTATTTCACCATCACCTTTCTCCTATTTCTTGTGCTAAGAAATGGGAAATCAAATCTATCTTTAATATTAGCATTAAATAATTAGTAAGGGACTTTACTAGAGTTTATAAACTATTTTTATAAGCTATTTTTTCTTAAAAGATTTATTTATTTATTTGAAAGGCAGAATTACAGAATGAGAGAGGAAGACATAGAGCTCAAGAGAGCTTCCCTCTGCTGGGTCACTCCCAGATGGCTTTAATGGCCAGGTGGAAACCGGGTGTGCCTTGTGGTTGTCAGGTGCCTAATTATTTGGACCATATTCTGCTGCATTTGCCCAACCACCAGCAGGGAGCTGAATTGGAAATGGAGCAACTAGGATGCAAACTGGCAACCGTATTGGATGTGGCTGTTGCATGCAGAGACTTAAGGGACTATATCATGAACACCAGCCTCTCTAAAAGCAAAGTTAAACTCTAGGAATGGAAGGGGCTTACCTTAATTTTCTGGAACATGGCTGTTAGTATATATGACAGGCATGACCAACCTTTGGGAAAACTTATGTAAGTTCCAAGGCTGATATTAAATTGATAGTTTTATATGTATAATTCTGTCTTTGAGACTGAGAATAAATATAATGTCAGAATAGTTGTTTGGCATTTGTTTTCCACAAAGTTTTCAGCTTTATAGTGGCAGGAAAAATATTGTCTAGGTATCTATGGTATATGATATATAGCTAAATATTATATTAGCTATGTAATGGCAGAGTAAATATTAGCATAGCTTGTTCTCTGAACTTTGGAGTTTTCATAGATTTAGTAATTTAGCATTGAGCCAATGATTCTGTGTATGTGTGTGTGTACATACATATTAGGTAAAGGAGGCAATATAGGCTCATTGCTTTTGGAAAGGAAAGACTTTTTAAAATTTCCTTTAGACAAGTGGACTCTCTAGTGTTAGTTTTTCAAATGCTGAAATTGTGTTTAAGTAAAATGTTAGCAGGTCATGTAGGATTCCATGTCCTTATCCTGAGAATGGGTAAAGAAGATATTATTTCCCCCTGTTAACAAGTGCCACTGTACTTTTCTTTGGTGAAATTGACATCAGAGAACTCAATCGGTCTCACACATGGGTTTCAGGGACTCAAGTACTTGAGCCATAACCTGCTGCCTTCAGGTCACACATTAGCAGAAAGTTGGGACTGGGAGCAAGGCAGAACTGGAACCTATGCAGTCCGATATGGATGTGGGCATTCCCAGAGGCATCTTAACCACGCGCCAAATGCCTGCTCCATGCACAGTTCATACGGCAGTTTCCTAATGAAAAGCTACAGAGGTAGGATTTGAATTTGGAGAAGTTTTCAGTGCATTCATTCTTTGTCTTGGAAATTTTAGACCATGTGGATGTAAAATGTACTTTTAGAAAATGTAACTTACTAAGCCAATCTTTTATCTTAATACTTAGGATTGTTCGGATAAATTTGAGGATTTACCTGTGACCTCTTTTAAGCATCTGACCAAAGCAAAATCAAGAGCAAGGCTTTCAGGAAACAGCCCAGATGACAGTCATAATCAGATAAAACACTCTGCAAGGCCATATACTGCGCCAGAGCAAAGCAAACGACAAGAAAACTACCCTGCAAGATTCACAAGCCCTCGAATGGTCTCAACAGGCCTAGTTCGTATAAATGATACAACCCTAGATTATGAAATACGTAAACTGCAGCCCCCTAAAAAATTAAAAGAGGATATTGAAAAATGTTCGCTCATTTGTGATATTATCCAAGTGCTAAACAATTCAAAATGAAATGTGAGACCTACAGTCAGAACATCATTTCTCCATCAGCAATGTGGTTTGGAGTTCTGTCCTCACGTGTGATAGAAGGCAGCATCCCAGTTTCATCTTGCTAGAACCATTTTGTTTTGATTAAAATGAGAAATGAGCACATTTTATGTAAATGCGTGTTTGTTTATAAGCCTTCAGAAGCAAACCCAGCAATATATGTTCAGCTCAGATGCATTTTGTTTCCAACTTCTCCCCCTCACTATTATCTCTGAGTCCCACAACTTCTGCTAAATTCTAATTTCTCCTTCTCTACCCAGTTTTTGGGTTCTCTTTTTGCAGTCATCTGTATTTAGAGTTTTGCTATGAGTACATTTTAACTCTTCAGCTTGTTATATTCATGGTTTTACAGCCTGTAATCTTCTGGGCCTAAAGAAGTTCTAGTGATTTTAACATCATCTGATATTATCTCTTCTTAACACTTATAAATTATAACATTTAACCCTGAACCATCTATTCCCCTGGAATAACTTTCTAACTCACTTGAAAAAAACTCTGAAGTCACCAAACTTTGGCTCTTGTTGCATTTTATTCCACACTTGACAAGCAAAAACTATAATAGACAGAGTTCTTGACGAGTCAGCAAGACCAGGAGATTCAAATTGAATTGGCCGATAGACAATTCCTAGTCATTCTTTCAACGTTATAACTCAGGGTAGTGGTGCTTTTTACAGGTACCAAGACTTTCTAGTTATGCTCAAATTTGTTATCATACATGATGGTCCTGGGACTACAGGGGTTGAACTTAAGATTTTTGAATTTGCTCGGGCATTGAAGTGATATCCTAATGGTAGAAGCTGTCATTTAGATTTTGAATTGTGATCTCTTCTGGGGTTAGTGAATACCCTGTAAGATCCTGTCCTGTGACACCAGGCAGCGGCAGCAGCAGCAATGGCAGCACCAGTAGGCACACGCCCAGGCAGCCTGGCACTGAAAGGGATTGTCAGTGGATATTCTGCAGTGTACCGTGTCACTAAGCTGTGGGGTCTGGTAGCAGACAGTGATGCCTTTCCATGAGCCTCTCCATTTACAGTGAGTTCACTGTACATAATTCTACTTTAAGTCTGGGAGCATGTGTACTTAATCAGAGTATAACCAGGAGAACACAAACAATTCTAGATTTTTGCAGCCGAAGAAGTACAAGAAGCTAGATTTAGGCAATGAAACCAACGCTAAGAAGCCAAGGGGATGGTGAGCCAACCCTGAAATTAGCAAGAGCAGGAAGTGCTGTCACCATGGAGGTGGCAGGAGCAGTGGCAGTAAGGGCTACAACCAGAGCCTAGAAGGCAGAAGACAAGGAAGAGAAACACCCACCCCAGGGACAACAGAAGAGATCAGAGAATGGAGCACAGGGTGAGGAACCTCAGGCTGCTGCTTTCTTTTCCTGCTTTCTGATCCTCCACCATGGCCTCCCTGGAAACTCAAGAATGGGGCTGTGAGGGAAATCTGATTCATGAGAAGCAACAAGGAAACTGCGGAGAAATGGATTTGGTAGCTCTTAGGTAATTGACTGATTGTACTTACAAAGAAAATCATTTATCTGATCTGCATGCAGTAAAGGAGAAAATATTTCCTGGGTGGAAACTGAAATCCCTTTCCTCACTAGTTCTAACAGCGATCTTGTGACACTTAAAGAATTAAAATTCTCCTACTGTGGAAATCTCTTAAATTTTCAATCATTTTTTCAACTCAATTTATTTGAAGAAGAGTCCTTGAACATTTGTTAAACTTTATGTGAGACAACTTTTCCAACCACTTAAAAGTTACTTGTTAATAAGGCATGTAGTCAACAGCACATTGGGGACATAAACACTAAGTAATAAAGGGTTGAATATGTGATTTAGGAAGGTATTTTAGCTAAAATGATTGTGCTGGTTTGAGTTGTCTGAAAGGTGGCACCAAGATGAAATTAGACAATGCAGTAGTCAGAATGGTGGCTCCCAAGCATATCCACGTTCCAATCCCAGAAACCTGTAATTGTCACCTCACTCAGTGAAACCAAGATGAAGAATCCCACAGGGGGGGATTGTCTGGGTGGGCACGCTATGGTCACAAGGGTTCGTAAGAGGAAAGGATCAAGGGTCAGCGTCAGAGAAGGGAGACGTGAGCGCAGAAGCAGAAGTTGCAGTGAAGCTGTGTAAGAACTGGAGACATAGGGTGCTGCTGGAAACTGGAAGAGGCAAGAAACTATCTCCCCACAGCCTCCAGAAGGAACATCACCCTGCCACCCATTGAAACCTCTGAACTCTGGAACTATAAGGCTATCTTGTGTTATTTATTCTCACCTTTTGTGGTAATTTGTCACATTCAGAGGCTAGCACCACATGCAAAGAGATGATGATGATTTGGGGGAGGAAAGGGAAGCCTATGAGAATAAGTAGGGAGCAAATTGGAGATGGCTGGGAGAACTGTCACCTGTGATGTGGGTCTCAACATTGCGGGTAGAAGGTGGAGTAGGAAATATCTTGGACTGTGGGGTTCTTCTTTTTCTTGTTAGAGCCCATGGGGAGAACTTCAAAAAAAGCCATTCATCATCAGAACCCAGGAGTGGGCCTGACTTGCCATCCTTCCTGGCAGGAAGTAGAAGGAGGCAAGGTTGATAGGCAGAATAATGACTCCCCGTCCCCAAAGATGCCTAAATCCTAATTTCCTGAACTTGCAGGTACGTTAGGTTAAATAGCTAGGGGACATTAGATTTGCTTATCAAGTGACTGAACACAGGGAGAGTATTCTGCATTATTTGACTACGTCCAATTTAATCAAATAGAAGAAGCAACTGGAAGAGAGAACCAGGCAAATGGCAATACAAGAGCTGAGTCCAACAGTGCTGACCTGGAAGGCTGACAGAGGGCCATGTGCTGTGGGAGGAGCATAATCTGAAAAGAGCAGGACAATGGGTTTCTCCAAACCTCCCAGAAGGAATGCCAGTGCCTTATGTTGCTGAGATCCAGTTCAGAGTTTGGAGCTTCTGAACTGTACATAACTGATGTAGCTTTAAGCCACTGAGTTTGTGGTAATCTCTAACACCAGGCATGGGAAGTTAATATTGCAAGAGAGGCACCTATGGTATGAAAGCTAAACAGGCAGAGGTGCTCCATGGATTATAATATCCACTAGACTGGCTGCTTTTATGTGTCTGCTGGGCTACAGGGCACTCAGTTATCTGAACATTATTCTGGGTGTTCCTGTAGGAGATAGCCCTCCCCAATGGGGGTGGAGTACACCCAATCAGAGGAAAGACAGAACAAAAGCCCTTTAAGTCGGAGAATTCCTCCTCCTGACTTGGTTTGAATTTTTCCCTGCCTTTGGACTCAAGCTGAGAAATGGGCTCTTCTGTCTTGAGTTCATGGCTGCTGGACTAGAGCTGTACTCTGTTTTCCTGGGTCTCTAGCGTGCAGACCTTGGGACTTATCAGGCTCCACACTTCCAGCTGCTTACCATGAATCCATTTCTTTATGTGCACACATTATACTTCCCAGGCCACAGCCAGAGAGCTGAGGCACCGTTTCATGGCTTCCACAGTGGGTTTCTCTGGCTGAGGGAGAGAGGCGCAGCCCTGACCACTGTGGGTACTCTCAAAGTCTCCGTTAGTCCTGTACCTCGTCTCCTCCACCACCCATTCTGGATTCACTTTCACCTTGGCAGCTCTTCTTGGCTTGCTTGGTAGAGTAACCCAAACCCACATCTTGGGGAGATCTAGCCAATGAACATGGAAAGGATTGTATTCAATTGCCTGTTAATTTGTAGACTGCCTGTAAGTATGTACAGAATAAGAAAGTCAGGTAAGTTCCAATTAGCCACAGCTTACCCACCATGCTCTTTCTGAGGGACATGGCCTCTCTTGCTAATAATGGATTAGCACTAATTCAGACCTCTGTGTTCTTCTGTTTAATGTCCTACAGAGGCAATGATCATGTAAATGACTGAAACGCGTGCCTTCACTGAACCAAGTACTCAGCTGTCTCTTGAAAGTTGCAAGTTCACTTGGAAATGGTTTCTTCAAAAAAACACATGTAGAATTTGTGTTTGATCTTTGCAAAATCACACAAGGAAAATAAAAGCATAAACTCAAGTCAATAAACTTTTATTGAGCTCCCACAGGGGGCATGAATTTAGCATGTATAATTTACATAGGTAAAATCAAAGAGAGTGCCCTAATTAGCTCTCTTCTTTTTTAAGAAAAAACAAATTACAAATTCTCTATGTATTTCAAGTGAATCATTTATTTTGAGTGAGGCTCAGTTTGATATTACCATAAGTATTAATAGAAAAAGGGAAAATACAAATATTTTCTCTTCTCCAAAAAAGGGTTTGGTGCCAAGGTAGACTAGCCTGTTGTAACAAAAACTGATGAAAAAGGCTAGAGGACCTGGAAGAAAAACAGGATGTACCTGGAAGCACTGTCCTACAAGGGCTGAAGCCCAAGAGGAGAGTGAAATGCTGCAGAAGTTTATTGGCTCAAAAACTACAGAAGGATAGAAATGAGTTAGTCACAGCTTGGGGACATTTCTAAAGACTCAGTGACACTAATGGTTGCTAGATGAATCATCTGGATGTTTCCCTGGAGTTGTGAGAGCACACTGAGCTAGACAGAGAGGCTATCCACTCACGCCCACCTGTCTCGCTGTGAGCAGAGTGGCTTTAAATGAGATTCTCCAGTGCACCAACTGTATTTTCAAGTATAACTCTGGTATTTGTACCTAGCAATACAGAATAAAAAGCAGCAAGAAGACAGTGTCAAGTATACAGGGCATAAGGTGATTTGGTGGCCCTAGAATTCCCAGTCTGAATCTTTGTCGTCAGGAAAATCACATTCTGGCTCGGTCCAAGGTAGCACTGGAGGCAGTGCCATCGATGGCTTGTTATAAGCAGGAGGCAGCAGTGACAGTATGGAGTCCTGGCTTTCTTCCTTCATCTATTAAAGAAATCCAAAATGAGGCTGTTGGTAAATTTAATACATCAGACTTATTAGCAATACATAACTTTTAAAGAAATTGTGTTTGAAGTCTTTATGCTGTTTTTCAGTATTTTCCCCAAAAATGCCTTTGTTGCTCATCACCTGGAAAGAGTTAGAAAAGCCAGAAAATGGACTTTTATCATTCT